AACTGATTTTAGAAGATTTTTTTTTAATTCAGTTTAAAATATCTCCCAAACTGAATTGAGGAAATCAGTTTTATTTCTTCAAAATACCAAGGGATCAGAGTTAAAATGAGAGATTTCGTGACGTAAGGTTTTGAAGTTTCCAAGAGTTTGTGATTTGAAGAACTCAGTTTTAGGCCTGACTTGGACTTTCGGCCCAAACTGAACTTTCTGCCTAAATTAGACTTTCTACCCAAATTGGACTTTCGGCCTAAATTGGATTTCGGCTCAAATTGAACTTTCGACCCAAATTGGACTTTCTGCCTAAATTGGACTTTCGGCCCAAATTGGAATTTCGGCCTAAATTAGATTTCGGCTCAAATTGAACTTTCCACCCAAATTGGACTTTCTGCCTAAATTGAACTTTCGGCCCAAATTGGACTTTCGGCCTAAATTGGATTTCGGCTCAAATTGAACTTTCCACTCAAATTGGACTTTCTGCCTAAATTGGACTTTCGGCCCAAATTGGACTTTCAGCCCAAATTGGACTTTCAGCTCAAATTGAACTTTCGATCCAAATTGGACTTTCTTTCTAAATTGGACTTTAGCCCCAAATTGGACTTTCAGCCCAAATTGAACTTTCAGCTCAAATTGGACTTTCGACCCAAATTGGACTTTCGGCCTAAATTGGACTTTAGGCTCAAATTAGACTTTAGGCTCAAATTGGACCTTCGACCCAAATCGTTTTTTTTGGCGGGAATTCAACTTATAAATCGAATCAGAGTTAAGTTATCATTGCTGATTTCTATGTTGGGCCAGAGGTCTTTTTAGTTAGGACCTAGGTTAAAAGTACATAAATAAATGAAAAGTATAAATAAAAACATTAAAAAAAGAGAAACTTTATTGACACAAGCTTAAGACTCGCCTATTGCAAGGTACGCTCAACCCAGACCTTAAGCGGAACTCGACGATACGATCCATCGCTAAAGATCCAGGATAAATGGTCGGGATCCTTGTACCGCTCCAGTAAGTACCTGACACCTGCTATCCTCTACCGTCATGAGGGTCACATCAGGCCTAAATATCGAGTACTGCTGCCATTCTCGATAGAATCCAAAAGCATCGCCGCATCCTTGTGGGTGACAAATTACTTTATTATTTTCCACCTTACAAACCTCGCAGTCTCTCACTGAGCCTGTTTCACCATCCATTGAATGTGGTCAGAGGAAATACATTCCTTAGTGCCACCAGTTCTGACGTTCACGGCTAGAACCCACCATACCACGCACATTTTAGAGAACCACTCTCATTTGATCAGTACTCTATTTGCAAGAATTAAGTTCCAGTCGAACAGCTTCTTCACGCGAACCACAACTCTATGGAAACGACTCCCAAGAGGATGGTTTTTTTCTGCTCGCTACAATCTTAATCTATTCAAGTCAAACGTTAACCGCTTGCTTCTCCACATATACCCATAAACTGTGCCTTTTACTCTGTAACCCTCTACCTCGAATGTCTCCCGTGGCTTTTACAGAGTGAAAATTCCTGAAAAAAAGGCAAATAGACAAAACTTATATTTAGTCAGCGGCTAGACTTTGGTGCCTCCATTTTGGAAAACAAAACCAAAAATGATTGTGCATATATCAATAGGAACCATCCTTTGAGAACTGATAACGTACAATTCTTCAGAGGGAGTTGAAACGGATGTTAATATCGACGTGTTAATAATTCCTCCTGTATGGAACTTGATAGCCATTTCATGTTATTCAGATGACGGCAAGAATAAAATCCTTTTCACTGAAGTTAGGAAAACCAGTCTGGCTTGCAAGAATATCATATCAGAGAGTGTTATTAAGAATCGCATTTCATTTGGATTCCCAGACTATACAAGCGACATTTGCAATTACAGACATTCATGGGAAAGATGTCCGCCCTTATCGCTTTAGTTTCCTTTTGTTTGTACAAGTTACTTTCACTCAGTTCAAATTTAATACCCCTGCGAATCGGTTTGTCACTTGGGTAGAAGTGGACTATAATTGGCGTATATACATTTATGCATTAGTTTTGCAGAGAAATAAATTCAACCAAAACTTTGATCAAAAGAAAGCCTCACTTATGAAGAGAAAATAACTTACTTAGAACGACAATTTTAGAAAGTGTTTCTATCGAATTTTATCAAAATATAAAATTGTACCCCGGATTTTTTTTTTTGTAAAAAAGAATGACTTCTTTCCCAAGCCAACATCTTCTTCTATGTGCCGTGTCCCTTCAGGACGTAGGCTATCATGGCCCTCCACATCATCCTGTCCTTTGTAACTTTTAATAAGTTTTGTTTTGTGTTATTTCTCCCAAACCCTGTTCTATCAACCATTTACTCAAAACCGTCAAGTATGTTTCTTCTGTCTGCATTTCCCTCAATCTGTCCCGAGAGTATCAGATTTTCCAAGCCCTCCTTCGTTCCATAAAAATTTCAACTGCCTCTTCCTGGTGTTAAGTATAAGTTTTCCGTCTGTTTCCATTTTCTCTAAAACTTCGTTGTTGCTCACATTTTTGGTCCATGGTATCCTCAGCATCTTTCTGTAGAATCACATTTCTGTTGCTTCAAGTTTCTTCCTCATCTCTAAGGAGATTGTCTAGCATTCGCTGCCATACAAGATGAAGGATATCATGTATTAATCCAGTACTATTTTTCTTTGTTTCTAACCGTAGTGGCCTTGTTAGGGCCAGACACAAAGAGAGGAACTGAGTTAAACACATATATAAAGAGAAACAGTAATACAAACATATACAAACGAGAGTGTTACAGCAAGAATGCTCGGCCCGACTGTCAGGACTGACTACTGGAAACATCCTTCTTTAAAAGGCAGTACCTGCTCCTATTTATAGGTGGGAGAGTCCATGTGTGCATGGGTAAATTGCCATAACACTAACGAATTTTGTTTATCTTTTAATACTCGTCTTAGCTTTTGGAATGCATCTTTGGCTATTCCATTACGTCTTCGAATCTCAGCGCTGCACTTTCCATCCTCTGTTGGAATAATTGCCTGATATTTAAATTTCTGTACCTTCTTGATTTTAATATCCCCGATTTGTAATTTGTATTTTGGGCTCACCCTTTTGCTGATAACCATGCATTCTGTCTTCTTGTAGTTTATCCTTAGTTCTTTCTTCTCGCTTTCCTTCGTTACATTCTATAGGAGGTTTTGTAATTTCCTTTCCATGTCTGTTATTAGCATTGTTTCAACTGCATATCTTATATTGTTTAGATTGTTAACGCTAACAATCAATTCTAATAGGCTGGTTGATTCTCTCAGTAAATTTATAGCCACATGTTATTTAAAATATATAACATATAAATTAATCCCAGACTAAAATAATTTAAATATTAATTCACATTAAAAATTCTAGAACATCATTTACTCTCTTTCGTTCATTCGACATTGAATTGTTTCACTTTTCGTCTTCCATAGTTTGCCTAGACCTTTCGGCTAAGTTAATGAATGTTCATGAGCGTTTCTTGAAAATCAATACTAATTTTGCTCGTTATATTATTTATATTATTCGGACTGTTATCCTCATCTTCATTACCATATTCACAAAGTCTAGTTCGTTGTACGCTCCGGCTTTCTCCAGGTGATTGGAATTTCGAACCCGGATGTCTCAGTTATTTCGCTGTAACTCAACTCTATTTTGATTTACATCTGCTGTAACCTGGTATTGAACTCACAACTCTTTAACCACCGCCTTTATCCACTGGGCCATGAGATAACACATCTGTGCATTAACTTCTGGGACTAATAAAACTTATTACTCACTAGCAGTAGAGCCCGGCGTTGCCCGGGGATATAACAGTAAGAGATAGATCAAGTATCGACCATCATAAAGACTGAAAAATAAAATTGACAAAGATTATTGTGTAAGGTTAACGGACACGCATGTCTTAATTTGTTTTTTTTTACGAATTGGTCAAACCGAAACTCAAACAAAAACATTGTTATCAATCGTTATGAGTCTATCGATTGAATAGAATTTTATTATAAACAATTGTCTTGTAAATGGAATTTTTAAAGCATTCTGAATGTAAAAATAAAGAAATACGAAACACCACCTGCCAAATAAAAAGTGAAGTTTTGTTGAAATCGGTTGAAAAATGTAGGAAATCCGATCCCATATATAAACGAACACACACAACACACACAAACAAACAACCTGGGTTTTATAATAAGTATAACTCGATATGAGTTGTCCCCTTTCATTCTGGCGAGTGATGCCTCCTAATCGTGTTTTCAAATTGATTTTGTGCAAAAACAATTGTGTTTTTCCAATTTTTGTCGCTGTCAGAACCACCGCAAGGTAATTTTACGTAGTCCTGTGAAGTTTTGTTGAAATCGATTGGAAAATGTAGGAAATCCGATCCAATATATAAACGAAACACACACACACACACACACACACACACACACACACACACACACATAATCTGCGTTTTATAATAAGTAAGATCAACTGTCTTTACCAAACGCTGTGAATATGGCAATGAAGATGAGTATAACAGTCCGAATAATGTAAATAATCATAATACCTCATCTCAGAGATATAGACAGATTTTGCTAATGTATATAAATAATTGTTGCAAAATAAAATGCATGCATTTGTCTAGATAAAGTCCCTCACAGGATGAAACGCGTCAGCTAAGATAAGTTTTCTTTGGGTCTTTATTCATATGCATTTATCTATTCAGTGGTTTAATTTCTTCAGAGGGAAATGGCTGTAGATATCGATGTCCATTTGTCAATTCATATGTCAATATATTGTCATTACTTCAAATGTTATTAGAGCCGATGATTTGAATTTCAAGTAGACGCCCCGTTTTTATTGGTTAAAATGAGGTCTGTTGCGAATATGGCGCCTGCGATTTCGGGAAATAAAGAAGGTGCGTTTCCAGGAAAGGATAGAACCTGCATCCACATATGTAGGGGTAAAAATCTCGGATTAAAGATGAATTCATTAATTCTTAGAAGTGCATGAATCTATCTATCTATCTATCTATCTCAGTCTTTTCATATATATATATATATATATCAGTCAGGTCATATCTATCTCATTCTGTTCAAATATATATATATATATATATATATCTGTTCATATCTATGTATCAATCTATTTATCTATCGATTAGTCTGTTCATATATATATATATATATATATATATATATTAAGACATTTTTATGTTTATACTTTGTTTTTATAGATACAAGTATTTAAGTAAATGCTCTGTTTATAATAAACAGTATTGACAACATTTACTGGCCTGAATGTCCGAGAAATTTTCATAGAAAATATGCGACCTCCGACAGGAATTGAACCTGTATCCTATAGGGAACCGTCATATAGCCTGACATGCTTTTACCGATTGAGCCACAGTGGAACGTTTCGGTTAGCAAGGTTGATTTTACTGTTTTTAAACTACAGTTCTCCATTATTTTTTTTTCATACATTTATATCATTTTGATGCGTATCCAGATGTAAACAAATGACGTCAAACATCATGAAATGGACAAAGTCCGACAATTATTTTAATAAAATTTACCTATCTATCTATCTATCTATATATATATATATATATTGATTAATATTAAAAAATTAAAATCTTCACAGACACTTTGTTGTACATTATTTACATTATTCGGACTATTGTACTCATCTTTGTCGCCATATTCATTACAACGTTTTAGCCGATGTAATCTCCGGCCTTCTTCAGGTGGTTGGAATATCGAACTGAACCCTTTATTTCGCTCACCGGGGTAGACTGTTCTAGTTCCACGTGCCATGTTTAATGGATGTCAGTTATCAGTTATCTCGTGTTAATTTCCCTCTGAAAGATCTCCACTGCCTTAACTGGGTATTGAACTCACACTCTTTCTAACCAACGCCTTTATCCACTGTGTTATGTATCCTTGAGGACAACGTACAACGGCCGAAACGTTGTAATGAATGTGGCGACAAAGATTAGGACAATAGTCCGAATAATGTAAATAATGTACATAATACCTCATCTCAGAAATATAGACAGATACTCAAGGGCAGAAACGTTGTGATAAATATAGTGACAAAGATGAGGACAATAGTCCGAATAATGTAAATAATGTACATAATACCTCATCTCAGAAATATAGACAGATACTGAAAGGCTGAAACGTTGTAATAAATATGGCGACAAAGATGAGGACAATAGTCCGAATAATGTAAATAATGTACATAATACCTCATCTCAGAAATATAGACAGATACTGAAAGGCCGAAACGTTGTAATAAATATGGCGACAAAGATGAGGACAATAGTCCGAATAATGTAAATAATGTACATAATACCTCATCTCAGAAATATAGACAGACACTTGGTTGTATATTAATATTCCTTCGTTTTTATTATTATTTCATTTAGATTCCTCGACTAGTTTCGGCCAACATGGCCATCATCAGGAGAAAAATAATTTCTGTTTGCTGGTAGCATTGATCTACAGAAATGAATGTCTTGATGGAGAAAATTAACTTTTTTCTGTAGTTTTCATTTGTTATTTTAATTTTTTTACCATGAATTTTGGTCAGTCCTTGTGTTGGTCAAACAGTCTCTTTTAAGTTGATATTTGAGATAAGAGCTGGATGGATTCATGCTGCTCTGAATCCCCTTGGTCATTTTGACAGATTTATTGGTTCCTGGAAAGGGGATGTGTCTCTGTTAAATGTGTGTGTGCCTATGTGTGTTATTTGGTTCTTAAGGAGTGAGTGAGTATGAGGTGTGTATGTGTGTATATTATTATGGATGTGTGTTATTTGGCTCAATAGGGAGTGAGTGAGTATGATGTGTGTTATTGTGTATGTTCACGTGGGTGTGTGTATAAGAGTGAGGCCTCAACACCTCCGTAAGCATGTCTGTCTTGTGTGGGTGAGAAATGTTGGTAGGTTTTGATTTGTAGGGTTATATATTAATACTATCTATATTGTTAAATTTGTGATTAAGCCCGTCTGGATAGTGCGTTTTAAACGTTGTATGCATTTATTTTCATGGGACTCTAAAATCTTTCTAATGTTATCTGCTCTGGACTTTTCTATTCTCTCAATTATAGTGAATTTGGCATGGGTTTTGAAATCGTGTTTTTCCATGCGGAAATGTTCTACAGGTTATAGTTATATATATATATATATATATATATATATATATATATATATATATATAAAGGTTTATGGTCGAAGTTGAACCAGTTGTAGTAAAATTGCTCAATACAAGTGGAAAAAATACCATGACATTCTGATTTTTAAAGTACACACACACACACACACACACACACACATATATATATATATATTTACCAGTCTGCTCATATCTACTTATCATCTGCAAACAGAGTATTTCGCTCCTCAGTGTGGCTAGACGTCCGATTGTTTCAAGCCGGGATCGAAACTCAACTGATTTGGCAGTAGTCTGATATGTTAACACTAGTCCATGATCGCACGGCGGAAAGAAAGGAATTTTAACGTTTTGTTTCTAAACGAAAAATGCACCAGCGGCTGGGAGAACTCAATTCGTTCTTGAAGAGTAATGCTTAATAGCAGTACGAACCGCTATTATATATTTAGAAATTAAAAGGGATTTGAATAATCATAATTAATTTATCGAGTCTGGTTTGTGAACTATCCGTCAACGAGACCCGTTGGTTCGTGGGTATGACGCTTGCGTCATATCATAACGGTCCGTGATCGATTCCCGGTCGTGGATGCGCACTGACGAAGAGTCCCTAAAAATAGGACGAAACGGCCGCCTAGTGCATTCTGTTGAGGATTCTTCTACACTCCATATTATATCATTCTGTTTATATTGATCTCAATCTCTTCATATCTATTTATCCGTCGTAGTTTGTTCATATCGTGGTCGGTAATAAAATCACAGGAAAAAAGACACACTTTTACCTCGGACGACGCGTAAGAAATCACCATTAATACATTTATCGTGGCCAGTAATAAAGTGAGCTATTTCTGTCGAGTACAATTTTATGGGCCCGCTGCGTTTGCAACAGAAATTCATAGTAAATCGATTCAGACTCTAAAAATATATTCTAACAATACTACGGTCACATATTCGATGTATTTCATAGTGTATCCTAGCATTCCATTCTTTAAGTCAAGAAAGCCTTAAGAAGGGTTTTTGAAATTTGCACCAAAACATATACAAATCTCGGAGATCGTATGCGAAGTTGGATATAAACGTTTCCTAATAATGTTACCGTCATATATTCGATATTTCATAGTTAGGGTGTCCTAGTATCCTATAAGTCCCGACTTTATGTGAAAAAAGTTTCAATATGACATTAAAAGTTGAATTAAAATTTCTGTAAGAAATTCAGATGTCTAGGTCTATATATTAGAACCCCGAACGTCCGAATTCCGAAACAATAATGAAATAATATGAAAAAATTCCAGTTGAATCATTTGTATTTCCAAAAATATGTTCATGAATTCAAAAATGTTAAAAGGTATTACAAACAGGCTTTTGGTGAGTTAAATCTTTTGCTAAGGTCTTTGGTTAGTTAATTCACCAAAAAGGCATGGTTTAGGAAAAAAAAAATAATCACGAAACGTCTTTGCTTTATAGTTAATGATTATTCGTTTAAAGTCGCCGTCTACGCCTTTGTTTATTTTTAAAAGTCGAAATCTATGTGTTTATAGCGTAAGTAGGCCCAAGGTTTTGGTTTTCTCTGACTAATCAAATATTTCGCAAGGGGATGTTAATTTCTAATCAATAGATCATTTAGTTATGTGCCATGCATGATACACGCTTAGGCGATCATGTAACGTTTTTTCCCGCAGTAGGTTGCCATTTCTTTCTGCGGTAGACCAGTTGCCATCCAAGGCTACAGAACCCAGTGTCTTGCTATTTACCCATATCTGGAGGAAGAAGAAGAGGATTCATACCTTTCCAAAGGGTATTAGCACATAAGTGAATGCAATGGAGTCGAGTGGAATTCGAACTCGGCTCTACCGATTCTTCAATCGGAGCCGCTATCTATTACTCCCCCGTTCCTCCAATATACACTTAGTTTTAAACATTGTGATTTCTGTGTAATCTTTTCGGTGTGTTTGTAATATTGTTTGTTAATGAAATTAAAATTTGGGCGTGTTTTATTATGGTATGTAGTATGTAGTGTTGGAAATAACGTTTCTTTACGATAGTTCCTTGAAATTTTAAATTTATTCAACAGACTGTCATTTTTTTAACTTTTAGGATAGGAATCTGTGTTTTTGTCCAATGTGTGCTAACCATACCAGGATCCTTTTTCTCCTGTGACTTTTTCCATGTGACATTTTTACCGTGACATTTTACTGCGAGGTTTAACATAGATTCATCAAGCTCAGTCTGTTAATATCTATCTATCTATCTATCTATCTATCTATCTATCTATCTATCTGTTCATATCTACTATCTCACTCTGTTCATATCTATCTATCTATCTATCTATCTATCTATCTATCTATCTGTTCATATCTACTATCTCACTCTGTTCATATCTATCTATCTATCTATCTATCTATCTATCTATCTATCTATCTTATTGTAATTAGCAATTTATGTCAATCACATTATCAATATTATCTGTGCAGATACATCATTTTCATAATTTTCAATGTCGGTCTATTTATACTATACAATCTAACTGCTCACCGTGAATTAGACATTAAGTACATTGGGCCTTACAGAGATGACTGGCTCATGGTAGTCAGGAGCTCCACGAATTTTAAAATAGATAAAATTAGAAAGATAATATATAGTGAATTCAGAAAACTAAACTTAAAAACTACAGTCAATACTAAATTAAAAATGCTAAACGTCCTCGACGTAACTCTAGACTTAATGAATAACATATACCTACTTTACAGAAAGCCTAACACTAATCCCTTGTATGTACACCCTAAGTCAAACCACCATCCATCTATAATTAAGCATATACCCACATCAATAGGGAAAAGAATCAGTATGAACTCCGCTAATAAGGAAATATTCCAACAACACAGTAATTTTTATAACACAGCCCCTAAAAAATATCGGATACAAAAATGCTAACAAAAATTATAAAAACAATATTACTAACCAAAATAAAAACAGAAAAGAAAAATTTGGTATACCCCTCCATTCAATCAAATGGTTAGTATTAAGCTAGGACATAAGTTCCTAGGTTTAATTGAAAAAAACTTTCCCACTAATAGCAGACTTAGCAAGATCTTTAATAAAAACACCTTAAACTTAAGTTACAGCTGCACTGAAAATCTAGGAAGAATTATAAAAAAACATAATAATAAAATCCTGGAAAAACACGCATGCCAAAACAGTATTAATAAAAATCCTAAACTAAAATTAAACAAAAATAATGAAAAATTATGTGATTGTAGAAACCCTGAAGACTGCCCGTTGGAAAATAAATGCCGCACGAAATCTGTGGTATACCAATGCACTATCTCATCCATTGAGAGTCCTAACACTGATAGGATATATATTGGTACAACGAAGAATGAATTTAAAATTAGATGGAGACAACACAAAAGCTCCTTCAATAATATTAGAAATAGAAATCAGACATCTCCATCCAAATATTTTTGGCATTTAAAAGAAATGAATAAATCACCAAAAGTAAAATGGAAAATAATAAATAGAACAAGAACTTGTAAAACCTAGGATGACCCATGTCCTTTATGCCTACATGAAAAACTACAGATTATAAAGTTTCTAAATAATGAAAATTTATTAAAACATAGACATGAGTTAATGGTTTTCTGCCGACATCAACAAATTTTCGCATTAAATAATTAGCATAAAAAAAAATTCATAGTCTAATAAAAGGTTTAAAAGCTTATCCCAATCATAAGATAGAAAAAAAACTTTATGATGCCGTCAAAAAAATAAATTGTATTTCAGTGCTACGCGTTTATGTACAAAACAGCTTTTTAGGAAAAAAAAAATAAAAAAAAGATAAAAGGATAAATAAATAAAATAAAACAAAATTCTCTTAACGACATATGGTGCCAAAAGTAATCTTTCGCTTTGACTGACCAGACGATGCACAGATATGAATGCTATCATTTGCTTTGAAGTGGATGCCCCCGCCCTATCTCAGCTTGACCTCTTTCCGAAGGTGACTGATATATGAATAAAAATTAACTCTTAGACCACTTACCAAATTGGTCGCCTTTGCCGTTTCCATAGTAATTAATTTTGCGAATGAACATGCTTATAAAGATGCATAAATTTCAAGATTGGTTATTCCTAAATTTTCGCTTGAGGATGAAACAGGGCTTGATACTTTAATTCAATTTAATTTTAATAATTATATTGAGGGTTTCGGCTCTGGTTTTTGAAACATGAGAACTCTTATGTAGCAAAGGAATCATTTTTTTAAATAATTAATAATCTCTCTCTCTCTCTCTCTCTCTCTATATATATATATATATATATATATATATATATATATATATATATATATATAAGTGCGCAGGTATGCAGAAAATAGAAAAGAACACGTTTGGGTGCATAATCCGGAGTTCCTTAGTATTTTTGTTTTTTATTTTTAAGAAGATAGTGCACCATACAGAAGTAGAGCTTTATTATAATTCCTAAAATTTCGCTTGAAGATGAAACGGGACTAAACACCTCAATTCAACTTAATTTTAATAATTATTTGGATGGTTTCGGCTCTCGTTTTTGAAACATGAGAACTTTTATGTATGAAGGAATCCTATTTTTAAACAAAAATATATATATATATATATATATATATATATATATATATATATATATATATATATATCATAATATTCATATCTATCTCAGTCTAATCATATCTATCTATCTCATAATATTCATATCTATTCATCTATCCCAGTGTATTCATATCTATCTATCTATCTATCTATCTATCTATCTATCCCAGTCTATTGATATCTATCTATCTATCTATCTATCTACCTATCTATCTATCTATGTTCATTATTTTTCTATTTATCTATCTTCGACTGATCCTATCTATCTATCTATCTATCTATCTATCTATCTATCTATCTATCTATCTATCTATCTATCTCAGTCTATTAATAACTATCTCTCCATCACTATTTCTGTCAATGATTATTCATAGTTTCTGGAAATCGCTATATCGATCGATCGATCTCCCTTAAATCCTATCTCTGGATTTCTTCTCGAGAGTAACTTCAGGTTCGATTCTCAATAAAATTGATTGTTAACTCTACAAACATGAAATTTTGAATTTCGAAATTTCAGTTTCGATGTGTTGCTTTTCTTTGGCGTCTCTTGGCTTCAGTCATTTTCAAATGTTTCAGGAAATGGAACTTCTTTCCAAACTGATCACAAGAGTAATTACACCCTAACGTTTCGAAATAATATGCAAGTTAACCTGGTCTCATTAACCCAGCGTTAGTCACATGAAGTCTTTTGCTGCCCGCAAAATACTTGTAAAATCCAGTTGGCAAGTTTCGCTCCTTCTCACAACTCTTCTGACTCAGGATGTGTAGCACGCCTTGTGGCGCAGTTGTAGCTCAGTTGTCCGCGGGAGGAGAACTATTCAGGGGCATATCCATTTTCTGAAATACGAGATGACTAAGGTCTCTATTTCCGTGGCATTGTGCCAGAATAATCAAAAGTTACGAATATATAATATGCGCAAATAATTGATTTGACCTGGATTGAGTTGATTTTTGACGGATTATCAAACTTTGTGGATTATTTCAGTGCTGAATTCTTATTTTTGGGATTGGACGAATAATAATTCTTTTCGAGTGAATGGTAGACTAAGAATTTATTTAAAATAACAAGGATTTTTCTCGATGCAAGTCCGCCAGTCATGTGCTCTGCATGATACACGCATAGGCGATCATGTATCTTTCGATACCTGACTGACGAGGCAGATTTTTTATCCCCTTCAGTAGGTTGCTATTTCTTTCTGCGGTAGACCAGTTGCCATATAAGGCTGTAGAACCCGGTTTGTCATATTTACCCATAGCTGTGGGTAGAAGAAGAGGTTTCATACCTCTCCCAAGTTTATTAGCCCGTAAATGAATGTAAAGGATGCTACTGGAAATCGAACTCGGCTCTCAGATTCCTCAATCCGAGCTGCTATTACGCTATCGTGCCACCTCTCTCCACCGAAATCCGAAGGCGCATTCAGTTAATTTTGTGCCATCCTTGATATACGCGTAGGTGATCATGTATCTTTTGATACATGACTGACGAAGCAGATTTTTCCCGCAGTAGGTTTCCATTTCTTTCTGCGGTAGGCCAGTTGCTTGCAAAGCTATGGAACTCGGTCTGTCCTGCTATTTTCCCGTTGCTCGGGAGAGAAGAAGTGGATTCATACCTTTACAAAGGGTCAGTCACTCAGTTATGTGCCATGCGTGATACACGCTTAGGTGATCATGTATCTTTCGACGACTGTGGGGAAACGAAGAGGATTCACACCTTTCCCAAGCGTATTAGCACGTAAGTGAATATAATGGATTCGACTGGAATTCGAACTCGGCTCTACCGATTCCTCAATCCGAGCCGCTATCCATTACTCTGCTGTGCCTCTTGCACTTGCACTACTGCTTAATCTATATCAAGAGGGATGTATTAATACCTTTCCCAACGGTATTTCATAAATGGTGACCAGGCAGGTGATATTTATTTTAGGAAACAGGACAAAGTCAGATGGTGAGTAAAGGGGATCGGGTAGTAATTGGAAGCCACGGGTTGCTGCTTCAGCTACTGCAACCTGGGCAGGTGTGAATGGACGCGTTATCCTGGAGCAAGAGCACACCGATCAACAGTTGCCTTCCTCATGTAGTCTATCGTGATTATGCCTTCCAAATCCCCCAAAATAGAAGCCATCGCCTTGCTGACAGACGTCGGCAGCAAAACCTCTTCGAAGGTGGAGAACCAGAGTGTCTCCAATGTTTGATCTGAATCTTTGATTCAGGTTCGAAGTCAAGGGGGACCCAAGTTTCAACTTGAGTTATTAATCTACAGTGGTAATGTTCAGGGTCAGCCTCGATGCGAATCAAAAGTGCCCTTGAAATCGCAACTGATATAAGGTTCTGCTATGCTGTCTGGATTTTGGGGACCCATTTTGCTGACAGCTTGCTCGCTGACAAGATCTCAGGGAAAACAGTATGGTCCGAACCAGAACTAATGCCTACGGACTCAGCGATCTGCGATATGGTAAATGGGATCATCTTGTATATTAGTGGTTGAGGTTTTTGGACGACATGACCAAAGGAAGATTTTCTGTCTCTGACCCTTTCGAGTTCTGCAGCCGAATTCTTCACGGTTGCATAAGAAGCGGAGTCCTCAGTAAGTATTTATACAATGTCCTCACGGATTTATATTATTTATTTATATAATATCCTCATTTCTTTGAGGGACATATCTTTGTCTTGCAGATAATTTATGACTGCCGGGGCTTCAGTTCTCTCCATTTTTAGATTTGTCACACACTTCTCACCTTTGTATGGGCCTCACCTGCACATAAATTAAGACAGAAATCTGAATTAGTTTTTTTTCTAATTTTTTTAGAAGCTGTAGTGTCTTGCCACAATAAAACTGTTCAGCTATGGCTCATCTTTCCAGGGATGTTTAGAAGTTGTTGAACGACAAACTTAAATACAGCGTCTCCTGTAGTAGAATGTTTACTCAGATATGTTTTTTGTTCCTCAGCATTAGACCTGTCTCAGTTTATTAGATATCTATTTAGGCTGACGACCATCGATACAACTCTAAAATATTATACACCTGATTAAAAGAAAACTGCATAAAGTTATCATCCACCCAGCCTGTCGTAGATCGTGGCTCACTGAGCAGATTTCGGATGACCATAACTCCTGAATTCCACCCAAGCTGATCACGCCATTGTTTTATAAACACTTCCTCAAATTTTATACATGTTTATTACACGCGGATTTGTCTCTCATTCTCATTTTCGCCAGGCTATCTTACTGTCTAAAGCCTACCGCTAGTATCTACCATGGCAGCTAGCCAATCCCTACTGCATAATCCTGCTCAGGCATATATGTGTTTGTTGAACACCCAGAGAGCAAGCCTGTGGTTTATAATACAACTAAGCTGAACGGACCTTAGTTACAGTTTAGGAGAGATAGCGCATTATCTGACGTGATCAACAGTTTGAACAAGGCCAGTACATTAAAACCCTCGGTCACGATGACTTGTGACATCGTGCCAGTACAACCATCGACGGCTCCCAAAGAGTTCCGTCTACCCAGTGTCACTTGTAAGTAAGGGGTCAATCCGTCGTATGGTTTTCAGACACTTTCGAAAGCTGTTGCACGCTGGGATCGCTTCACCAGGCCGACATTAAAGCAACTTCCAGTTTGCTATCTATAAGCCAACTTCATGACATGGTGAGATTCGAACCCGGATCTAATGGTCGGAAACATTCTAACCACCGCTTAGTGTATTATATTCGAAAGTGTGACTTTACCTCGAAGTTACTGATAATATATGTCAAAGTAATCAATGTAAGACATGATCCCGTGAAAGTAGAGCACATCATCACTTCTCTTGATTTAAGTAGGCATGTAATATTTAGTCAACATGCCGTTCCTCTACAAGGAATAAAATAACCACATTGCATTTAAATTGTCTGTGAATAATCCTGTTTTTTTTTTTTTATTAAATTGTCTATCCTGTAGTCGAATTTAAAATTTAAAATAGCATAACTTTTCTTTCATGTATAATCTACACTCCATATCTCTCTCGTACACACACATACTCTATCTATATCTATATGTATCTCTAATATATATATATATATATATATGTATCTCCAACGAATTAAATAATATTTATGTTGATCACACCACAAACTCGCTTTCACGACGCTTGACACTACATTTTAATGAAAACTCTAACATTTTTAGGCATTTAAAACAACATGCCTGCCCGCACACAATTCCGTAAAATACTTGTCGAAACACAACTATACTTCGATATGAAAACAATAGACAAAACTAAAAATACTTGAAGCATTATACATCAAACAGTTAAAACCCAACCTAAAACAAAATCAATTATGGCATCTCTACAAATATTCTTAAATGTCTATAATTGGTAACAGAAGCCATTGGTTTATACCAACGGTTTCCTTACTTCATTCTACAATTCACTCTCGTGTAGTCATGTGTGACGTCATGAGATGCGGTGCGATTTTCGCTTCTAGCGTCTTATATGCGCGTGTTTATCGTTGCTTAGTGATTAACTATGTAAACAATGACAGACTATCATCACTGTCGTGTCCGTATATTGTTTAATATGTTTGTGATTTACATCTTTGATAATGGCTTAAGTAAGCCGAAAGCTTAGATTATATTAAAAAAATATGGATCAATATTGTGAATTTCTTTCTTCGTTTAATGATAATGTTATCAAACTTATCAGATGTTACGAACAAATTTTACATAAAATAAATAGACAACACTTGTCTATATTATTTAATGAAACGTGTATAAAATATATATATATATGTATATATTTATTTATTTATTTATTTATTTGAGGCATGGGGGTCCAGCATCTCAGTTCTTAAAGCCGAACGGCTAGTCTACCGTCCCATATAATTTGATTAGAGCGGTGAAGGATTATGCAGAATCAACTACAAAACTTTTCCGAAGAACGGAATCCTGGAAAGTGGTGCACATAATGTCACACTAGGTCCCCAAACAGGCATCGTATGGTTTTGAACAGAGATATCCTTCTTCTAGACCGGTTGCCAACCAAGGCTAAAGAGCCAAGTCTGACCTACTATTTAACCCATAAATAGGAGAGAAAAAGATTGATTCATAATTTGACCAAATACATTTACGCATAGAGAACTCTTCTCTGCGATTTCTCATTCAGAGCCTCTATCCATATAACCACCAACATCGGACTGGTGCCAAATCAGCCGGGTTTCGATCACGGCTTGAAGCAGTCGGATGTCTAGCCACAGTGATATGCTGTGATATAGCGAAACCGTCTGTCTGTGGATGACAGTATATACTCCTGAAAGTTGTTTTCCGTTGAGCACTATGGGGAGAAAACGCAAATGTGTAAACAGTGATTACTACTGCTGCTAATGCAAGACTCTTCTATTGAACTGAGTCCTCTCAGACACTGGTGTGTTTGTTTTAAAAAAATAAATATGCTAAAATTCGCCTTCCTCTCTGCTGTGCGTTGATAGCTTAGGGGCAGATTCTCCGATATCAGATATAAATATAAAAGTGGACATTAATATCTACACCCAGACATGATTAAAAACAATCGTCATGTTTGGAGATTGAGTTACTGATAGCTGGTGATCTCAATGTCCACTCTCACTCACTCTCTCTCTCTCTCTCTCGCTGCATATACAGTGGGGTAAAAAATATTCGTACACATGAAAAATTGCATTTTTATAAATGTAAAAGCCTTAACTAAAACAAATTTTGATACATTTTATGTGTAAAGATAGAATTTTCAAAAAATAGTAATAAACTTAATTAATTCTTATTCTAACAGAAATTAATGCATTTTTAAAAATTCTAACTGGTGAAAAAAATAACGTACAAAACAAAAAAAGCATATTAACTTAATTTAATACTTTGTGGAATATCCTTTATTGAGTTCAACAGCTACCAGTCTTTTCCTGTATGTCTCAACTAATGATTTCGCACACATTGAGTGGTATTTTGTCCCATTCTTCTTGGCATATTGTCTTCAAATTCTTGATATTTGTTGGTGTTCTTTTCCCAATTTGAATTTTCAAATATCGCCATAAATTCTCGATTGGGTTCAAGTCTGGGGACTGACCTGGTCATTGCAAGACATCAACGTTACTTTCAGCTAAGCATTTCCTTGTAGATCTAGCGGTATGCTTAGGATCCTTATCCAGTTGGAAAACTCAATCAGAAGATTGCCGAAGTCTCTGAACAGAACGCATTAAATTGTCTTGCAGGATTTTCTGGTAGCTTTCGGCATTCATCTTGCCATCTATTATTGATATTTTGCAAACACCTTTTGCAGAAAAACAGCCCAAGATCATGATACTGCTACCATCAAACTTTACAGTTGGCAACGTGTTCTTTGGTAAGTAGGCTTCACCGTCCTTCCTCCACACATAATTTCGATAATTATGACCAAAATCTCTATTTTAGTTTCATCTGTCCATAGTACTTTTTCCCAAAACGAATATTCTTTATCCTTATGCTCTCTAACGAATTTTAGCCTAGCATCTGTGTCGTTTCAAGATGAGTGGAGTCTTCCTTGGGATGCGTGATTTCAGACTGTTTTTGTGTAGTTCATTACTTATTGTACGCTTGGTTACTTTAATCCCTAATGCACGCAGATGTTACTGCAGCTCTTCTTGGGTAACCTGTGAATTTTGTTGGATCTGGCTTCCTAATATCCTTGCTGATCTTAGAGAAATCTTCCTCGGAGCACCTGTTCGTCTTTGATTTTCGACGCTGTTACGAGTTTTAAACCTTGCAATGAACGAAGCAATTGTAGTGAAAGGAATATTCAGGTTGTTAGAAATCGTTCTGTAACTGTTCCCATCTTTCCAAAGAGACAAAATATGTTGTTTTTGTGAAATAGTCAATTCTTTACCTTTAGGAATTATTAGAACCTTCTCGTAAGAATAGAAATTGCTGAATGCTCTGATAATGGCTAATAGCCTTAACTATAGTTACCGATAACATTACTGGAACATTCTAGAATATACTTTTTTTCATAATTAATTGATTATTTTATTCTAATAATTGATTTGCACGAATACTTTTTTCACCAGTTAGAATTTAAAACAAGGCATTAATTTCTGTTAGAATAAGAATTAAATAAGTTTATTTTTATTTTTTAATAGTATGTGCTTTTATACATAAAATGTGCCAAGATTTGTTTTATTTAAGGCTTTTACATTTATAAAAATACAATTTTTCAAGTGTACGAATATTTATTTCCCCCAATGTATATATATATATATATATATATATATATATATATATATATATAATGAGACAAAGATTAATCTGATTACGCATTTCGCCTGCTTATAATAGATGGCTTTAGTCCAAAATGAGAGAAAAACCAGAATGCAACGAAAATACAGTGAGTTTATGTAAGAGCTAATAATTATATTTATCACATGCTACGGCCAGAAAGGGTTTTTTTCCTGTATAGTAGCCATTAATGTGTATGAGGGTGGCTGAGAGAGAGAGAGCGAGAGAGAATTGCTTTCAATAAGAACAACTAACTAAAAAACAAAATAAATAAATAAATAAAAAGGTCCTTATCGTAATCACAATTTCACATGGTAAACTCTCATCAAAGACATGCCGAGTCAAGCAGAGTCGACCGGGATTTGGAGAGCGTACAATAAGCGCAGATGAAACATGGCCGTCATTTATAAATTAATGTCTTCTTCACTTGATTGGAAAGAATAAAAACATATAAATAAATAATTTAAAATGCGGACGGCTATACGTTTAAAACTGCGGCCGTCAGAGTTGAGCCGCTTGTCTGTCACAATGTCACTAAACATTATCTCGGACGCAATAAAATGTAACAAAGTAAAAAGAATCCATAAAACAAAATGGCGTGGGCCTTCAGGAAAGGCACCCAATTTCTTCTAAAAACGTCTTTGGAGAATTGTGTCCAGCAGAAAAATTGGCATGTTATATATAGTGAATTGCATATGAGAAAAGTAGACTTTGAAATATTGATTCTTTGAAATGTTGCGATGAAGGCAGTGAATACGAGTTGTCTTAGTATTTATAAAATTATTCAATCACACCTGTCTGTCTATCTATCTATCTATCTATCTATCTATCTTTTTTAATCTATCTATCTATCTTTGTATCTATTTAAATCAATCTATTCTATCTATATACCTATCTCTGTCTATTCATATGAATCTATCTTCCTCGGTCCGTTCATATCTATCTATCTATCTATCTCAATCTATTCTATCAATATACTTATCTCTGTCTATTCATATGTATATACCTATCTAGGTCTGTTCATATCGATCTATCTTCCTATCTATCTATCTATCTATCTATCTATCTATCTATCTATCTATCTCAGTTCGTTCATATCTATCTATCTATCTATCTAGCTAGCTAGCTGAATTCTCTTCAGGCTGAAATGGAACTAATATCTTTAATTTAATTACAAAATTAAATTCTAAGCTCTTAGCTTCCATTTTTGAAACATGGTTAGAAATGTGTAGCGAAAATCAGTTAATTTATAATATTAATGCTGTGTAAATTTACATTGAGCACCTTATTTGTAAAAATAAAAATATCTATAAGAAAACTGGATTATATATCTTACTGTTCTTTCTTTATATATATATATATATATATATATATATATATATATATATATATATATATATTCATAGAAAATATGTGTCCTCCGGAACCATCATATAGCCTGACGTGCTATAACATTAGCTAAGTAGGCAGTGTCTGTTTAGTTATAGGTTCGATAAAAATAATGTATACACGTATCAAAATAATTGTCGGACTATATATATATATATATATATATATATATATAACAGAACATTTAAGACAACCCTCAGAGGCAACACCCTGTTTCACGTTAGGTGCAATCTTCAGGCCCTCGAAGGCCTAACGATTGCGCCTAGTATGAAACAGCCTCTCGCCTCTAAGTGTTGACTTCAATGTTCACTTTTATATTTACATTTGCATATTGAGCACTTTAATCCCATATATATAACACAGCTTAAAACTCTATTTCTTCATATATATAAATATATATATATATGTGTGTGTGTGTATGTATTGGGTCAGAAAGCATTCTTTCAAACATGTTTATTGAATATGACAGACAAAGAAAGTTGATTTTCCAGTATTCTTACATTTTTTCGTAAGGGCCTGTTTTTAGCTGTTGTCGATATGACAGATTTTGTATGTTGCCAACTACCATTTATTTTATATTTTCAAGTTTTCGCAAAATTTAACGCTTTTATTTCTTACTTTCAGATTATACAAAAAGAGGAAAATGTAAAAAAAAAAGTCGAAAATTATAGAAATAATACTCTTCCTGTTTAAAAACGAACAATACAATTTATAATTTGGAATAAAACTTGGCGAGAAAATGGATTTTTGTAATATCAAATAAACACTCGTTTGACATTTTTGCAATGTCAACGAATAGTCGTTGTCACTTTCGTAATACTCGTTGTAGTAGAGAATTTTTTAATTGCAGATACAACTATAGTAACGCCGTTGAACAATGCTGGTGTCAGACGCCTTCGAATATCACTCGCACTAATAGCACTTGCTCGATCATAATCACTCGAATAGTAACCACCTAATAGTGATCCGAATAGTAAGCTGTATAATGATCTGCATAGAGAGATAGTTTAGTTAATAGTATAGAGTATAGCAATCCGTATAATAATAGAGGATAGTGTAGAAATCGTGTCATATTTACCTACTGTCCTACGCAGCCGGATGCGGCACAAGACCAAGTTTATTGTGGGGTATCCGGGCCCGAAGCTCAGTCAAACATTTCCCGGGGTCGGGTAGCTGTCTCGCGTGACGAGACTCTGCCTTTCAACAGAGTCTCATTAGGGGCTCCTCTCTACCCGAAGTAATACGTATAGTGATCAGTATAGAGAAATAGTATAGTGAATAGTATAGAGTATAGCGATCCGTATAGTAATAGAGGATAGACTAGAAATGACGATCCGTATAGTAATAAAGGATAGACTAAAAATAGCGATCCGAATAGTAATAAAGGATAGACTAAAAATAGCGATCCGAATAGTAATAAAGGATAGACTAGAAATGGTGATCAATCAGACGCTACGCTAATTCCCATCAGTATAGAGAAGAGCGATAGCAAATAGTATGGAGAATTGTATAGTGAATAGTACAGAGAATAGCGATCCGTATAGTAATAGAGGATAGACTAGAAATGGCGATCTGTATAATATTAGAGGATAGACTAGAAATGGCGATTCGAATAGTAATAGAGGATAGACTAGAAATGGCGATCCGAATAGTAATAGAGGATAGACTAGAAATGGTGATCCGAATAGTAATAGAGGATAGGCTAGAAATGATGATCCGTATAGTAATAGAGGAGAGAGTAGAAATAGGGATCCGAATAGTAATAGAGGATAGACTAGATATAGTGATCCGAATTGTAATCGAGGGTAGTGTAGAAAGAGTGATCCCTTAGATACCACTCTAATTCCTATATATACATTTCATTTGGCTCTGTGTTTGCTCTCTGGCGATCTGTGTTCAAACTTCAATATGGGCAGCAATACTTTATTCTTATGTAATATGGGTATTCTCTTGAAATATCTAAAAAGAAAAATGAATAACCTTTCATCTGGAATGCCAATGATCTGACGTTACCCCTAGGACCACGTAACTTTCTGTTACTTTTGCTTTGTAGACATACAAATTAAGTATATTAGGTCTTAATACCTACAATAAGCTTATTTAGCTTTTATTGTCGACTCTCTTTATAGTACCAAATTCGTGCTTCTGCATATTGGAAATAGAGTACCATCGATTTCTGTAGCTTTGTTTTAAAAGAAACGCATGACATGCTTGATTTTATTTTAAACAAAACTGAATACAATTATTATAGGTGTTTAATCTTAAGGTCGTCGCTATTCCGAATCGATTTCAGGCAGACTATACAAAATGCATGTTTTGATGTAATAAATATGCATACAACTGGTTCCCCCTCACAGTAATATAATTTGCTGGTGTCAGTCATAAATACAGACTAATGTGGAGGTACAGGAGTACGCCTATTGTCTACGCCTATTGCCTACCACTACGACGAGGACCAGTCCATTACGGTTACCTGCTAGATTCTCCTACTCGGTTACAGTAGTCCAAAACCACTTTGCTACTTCGAACAAATATATCCCTTTCCGGGACATTTTTTTCTTTGGGTGTCAGTAGGACAGTGTTATTAAGTGATTTTCACAGTCGAGGTTTGTATTTGTACTAAGTCGGTCCTAAAATAGGTTCGACGTACAAAACGTTAGGAACTTCATATAATAAGTATTACGCAGAGTAATCTAGTTGTGGTCGCTGATACTTTAGTATTCGACTAACTGTCGTCCGACATCGACTGACTGACCGACCCACTGAGCGACGGTATTTAGTCAACTCCCCACGAGGGCATCATGTGGCACAAGGCCGGTTTAACGTAGGATCTCCGAGCCCATGGGCTCGGCCAAAAATATGCCCTTTGAACCCGTATAAACGGGTTCAGGGTCGGTTTACCTGCCCGCCCGAAGGCAGAGAGTTCAACCGGTCAGCCGGTCGTCCGACTTCAGACTGAACTCAGACAGACTCAATGAGCGACGATATTTAGTCACCTCCCCCCACGAGGGCATCATATGGCACAAGGCCGGTTTAACGTGGGATCTCCGAGCCCGTGAGCTCGGGCAAAAATATGCCCATTGAACCCGAATAAACGGGTTCAGGGTCGGTTTACCTCCCCGAATGAGTCTCCGCCCTTCGGCGTAGCCTCGTTCGGGTTCCTCCCCGCCCGAAGACAGAGAGTTCAACCGATCAGCCAGTCGACTGACTGAGCGGCTCCCTCGTTACTCTTACTACTTCTACTTATTACAGGTGGGAGAGTCTATCAACTACAGATTAGGTGTGTTCCACTATATCAGGCAGCCGGGCTGAACACTAAACCCGCACAAAATCACCATCAAGAAATGAGTCAAAAATTAATTCACATAATTTTAGACGTGAACCCATATTAGAAAAGGAAAACATAATCTTGCTATCACTTCATAGAAAATTGGCCTTAATGAAACAATTTTTGAAAGACTTGAAACACGATAATCTGTTATTTCTATATTTAAAAACGAAATTTCTAAGGCATATTTATGCGAAAATTAAAGAAGGAATCTTTGTCGGGCCTCAGATTCGACAGGTCATGAGAGACAACGAATTTGAAGCAACATTAAACAGATTGGAACTGGAAGCCTGGAAAAAGTTTCAAAGGTTTGCGTAATGGTTTTCTTGGAAGACAAAGCCCAAAATTACGAAATACTTGTTCCAAATATGATTAAAGCATATAAAGATTTAGGATGCAGTATGTCACTCGCATTTGCCCTACTTTCCAGAAAATGCAACAGTATTCAGCTACGAACATGGTAAATGGTTCCATCAAGATGCTGTCAAATTAGAAAATCGTCATAAAAACAAACGTTGTCCTTCTATACGAGCTTATTTTTCTTTCTAAAAATCTTCATCGAAACAGGCCAAATACTAAACATAAAAGACACAAAAACTCTAAAAAGTTTTTTTTTTTTAATTAAACATTTTCTTTTTATAAATAAGCCTGTGTTTTCTTAGATATTATATACTACGCAGGTGTAGGCTTTAAAAAAGCTTTATTCAACTGAGAATACAAGGTTCACGTATAGTGTCCTTTTATCGTCCCAGTAAACAGAAATAGCTCTCTCAAAGAGGAGATTAACAAACACCACTCTTGATTATTCATAACAATATTTGAAATTAAATAAAACGTTTATATGAAAATGTTTATTACCTATAAATATAATTATAAACCTAAATTTTTCGAAATTTGGAAAAGATTAATTTGTAAAAAACTGCATTCATTTCGTACAAGATGGAGTTCAGTTTTGTGATTGACTCAACCAAACGCACAGTGGAAAATTGCATTCTTGATTTTGTAGAAAAATCATTATTACACATATAGGTCGACGATTTGGGCACCTCGATGTGGTGTAATGGTTAGCAAGCTTGTCTCGCAAGAAGAATTACGACTGAGTAGTGAGTTCGACCCTCAATGGTACCCCATACTTTCGGCCTTGTGTCAAATTTAAGCTACGCTGAGAGAATAACTATAACAAACTATCTGGGTACCTCGACGTGGTGTAATGGTTAGCAAGCTTGTTTCGCTAAAACATTTACGACTAAATAGTGAGTTCGATCCTAATTGGGTGCCTCTTAATTTTGGCCTTGTGCCACATCTAAGAAAATCACTATAGGTCCACGATTCTTCATAAGTGTATATGTGTGTTTTTGTTTCCCTGTGTGTGTGTCAGCTATAATGTTCATTTTTGCAATT